GTCCTTGTGGTCCCTCCCCAGCTGCTGGCACCATCAAAGGCACGGCAGACCTGACGCTGGAGATGGTCGCCCCCTGCCCTGGCGTAATCCCCTCTTCCCTGCCCCTGACACTATCCATCCCGATGAGGGGGAGGAGATGGAAAAAAGATCAGCAAATATCAACATCTCCCATTTCAAGGCCACTAGAACAACAAAGGTTAACGAGATCTATTTTTCCTAACCAGCTACATCTGACAATAGCTGGAAAACTCTAGCAGGGATGGGCAGCGTGGACAAATCCTTTAGAGCCCTAATATAGTCCAGCTCCTTCTCTTCCTCACTCCTATCCGTCCAGCCTCTTCTGCAGCCTAAATCCCTCTATTCCCTCACTTTATCCAACACATTCTCATCAGCAGCCAGAGACAGTCACGGCACACAGACTCTGCCATCTCTCCCAGCACCCAGCCAGGCACAGATTTATTTAACAAACCCCCTGTCACCCCCAAAGCGGGGCAATATCTGCTGCTACTGGGAGCCCAGGCAGGGCTTACAAACACCCCCAGCTCCTGCTGCCCCTAAAACTGCGGGTGACGCACGGAGGATGGGGACCACCACATCCCACTGCTGCCAAGCCAGGGAGCTGGGGTCGCTCCCGACACTGCTTCTGAACCCCCTTCCCTGGATCGGAGCTCGCCTGAAGACAGCGGTTTCTCTTGGCAAATCTGTAAGAGATTCTGCCGTGCAGGAGCTTGGCTGGATTTCAAAGCATAACGAAACCTAAAATTCCCTGGAAAGGGATTCTATAAAAAAAAGGGGAAAAAAAAGAAGAAAAAAAAGCCTTTCAGCTGCACTGAAATGTACTGTTTTGGGAAACAAATCAAAACACCTCGTTCCAATGTTGACTTCGAAAGTTTTATGTGATTTAGACCATATGACACTGCAAAATAAAGGGAAAAAAGGCGTCTAGAAAGGAAAAAACAGAATTTTCTTCTGCTGAAATGCAGAGACAAGGCTCCTTAACACCATGCCCAGGCTTTATGTGGTTTGGGGCTTTTTTTTCTTGCCCAAATCATATTTCTGTACAATCCAACGTGGTTTCGCAAACCTGCTCCATCTCTCCTAACCTCATTTGTGGGGGAAGGAGCCCGGGGCAGAATCGTGGCACCGCCGCTCCCTTCCCCCCCAGCCCTGGCTGCTCTCCTGCAGCTCTGCCATGATGAAACGCTCCCCAGGAACGAATATCACCCCTCCTCGAGGAAAAGTTGAGATACCTTCTTCCTCCCCAGCCTCCTTCCTCCCCTCTAGCAGCAGCCCTGAGTGTTTGAGCTGTACATTTGGGGCAGAAAGCTTTTTTTAGAGGATTTCTGCCATGGCCAAGCACTGAGGCTGCTGCCTGGGACAGGGGTGAGCAGCCCCAGGTCCCGCGGGGTGACTTGGTCCCTGCTACAACACCTCTCCAAAGGCACTGCCGCTCGTGGGGCGCACACTGCTAGATCTCCATCCGTCCTCAGGAAGACACCGGGAGAAGGTGAGGGTCTCACTCTGTGCGGGGACCCATTTCTCCTGCAGCAGCCCCATAAATAGCTGTGTCAGGCTCCGCGCCAGCTCCCCACCCTGCCAAGAAGCCCGAGGGGGCTTGAGGGGACACCAGGGGAGCGGTGGGGGGGTCACTCACTCGATAGCAGGCATGTTTGGGGCAGACATGGGGCTGACTTCTTTGGCTTTCTGAAGAGCGTGCTTCTGGTTAAAGGCCTCTTCTTCCTCCTGCTCATCCTGCAGAGGAAAAAACGGAGCTGTTTAGTGGGATGTTGGGGTTTCCAGGGAAGCTGCAGCCATGAGAGGCAGCGAGGGATGGACGGGGCTACCTTAGATGCCAAAGTGTGTGAGAGAAAAGGGGAGCAGGCACCTGTGTTCCCAGAGCCAGCATTTATTTTATTACAGGGATGCAACTTTCCCACTACACCAGATCTTACCGAAGGGAAGTATTTAAGTATTTAAATCAGTGGCAAGAGCCGGACTGTGCACACCAGAACAGCCCTGGATGCACAGACCAGCTCAGCCCTCCCTTCTTCACAGCCACAGGGGTGAGACAGGCATCCCCCCCACCGTGATGGAGTGGGAGGCAAGGCATCCACGAATGACCCTGGCGGAGATCCTGTCGCTTTAATGAGTACGGTTGGGTCTCCGGAGCAAAGAAAATGTCATTAGAAGTCATTAGAGCGCATTCAGCCTTTTCCAAAACTCAGCACTCCCTTAATTGAGGCTGCTGGTACACCACGGGGCTCTCCCACTCCCCTCACCCCGGCAGCAGCTGGCAGCCCCCGGAAATGCCACCCACACCCGCTGCAGGGGGACAGGGACCAGGCGTGGCTGGTCCTCCCCAAAGAGCAGCAGCGACCCTCACAGCTCTTGCCTGCTCACCCTTACCCAGATGGTGCCCCAAGATTTTAGCACTCCCCAAATATTTCCCAGCATAGTCTTAAAACCGGCTAAGCCAAATAACCTTCTCAAGCATCGTCTTAAATCGTGTTTGCTGCCCTGTGGGCAGGTGGGGAATAAATTTTGACACCACTGGAAAGCCCTTCCCACTCCACATCTCCAGAGCACTCGGGCAAATAACCATCCCCACATCAGAGCCCATCAGATAGATGAGGGTTATCTCAGGCTGACTGGAGGCAAACTATACTGGGGAACTGAAGTGGAGAAACATTTAAGCCACACTTGATGGGAAGTGTGAGTGTTCCTGGAGAGACATGAGACCAGCAGGTTTAAGCACTTTCCTGAACCAAAGTCTAACTGGCTTTGTGCAGCAATACGGGTTTGTGTTTCAGGGGAGCACCTTGCGTACCCTCCTGGGGGAAAAGCCCCTGTTTCCGGTTTGACCTAACCTCTTTTTCAAGGCAGTCTGAGCTATGAGACAAGGTGGCCCAGGTTCTGGAGCGAGGACAGTCACAGGAGGTGCTCCCAGTGCCTTTCCTGCTGGCCCTGTCCTTTACTATCTTCACACCAGTAAGAGAAAAAAGAGGAGCAACAAGAACGTACCTTGGTGAGCTCCTGAGCATTGGCCAGATTGTCCACCGCAATAGCCAAGAACACGTTCAGCAGAGTATCTGCGAGCAGCTAAGGATGCACAAGCCATGTGTTAAGGACATGGGTGTCTGCAGCCACCAAACAAGGATGGTCCTGATGGCTCCTCACCAGCTCAGTGAGAAGCAAAGGGACAAACTCCTCACTCATCCCATATATTTGACAAGGGTGTGTAGCGATAGGACAAGGTGTGATGGCTTTAAACTGAAAGAGGGCAGATTTAGGTTAGATATAAGGAAGAAATTTTTTACATTGAGGGTGGTGAGGTACTGGAACAGGTTGCCCAGAGAAGCTGTGGATGCGCCTTCCCTGGAGGTGTTCAAGGCCAGGTTGGATGAGGCTTTGAGCAACCTGGTGTAGTGGAAGGTGTCCCTGTCCACAGAAGGGGGATTGGAACTAGACGATCTTTGAGGTCCCTTCCAACCCAAATCATTCTATGATATACAGCCCTCAATGCACCTCCAGATAGCTCCTTCTCTGTGTTTGGGATACCCAGGGCTGTCGCATGCGTGACAAGACTCCCTCAATTGGAAGGGGAAGAAGCAGCAGTGGGTGAGAAGGGGGGAGTGCCTCCAGAGAGGGAGATGAGATGGGGTTGTCTCCACTAAGAGCATAGCAGCCAGGTGGATACAGTTTCCAAACAAGGTGAGGACGATGAAATAGATGGAGGACCACATGCCTGAGCGAACGCCTCCCTGGGAGCGGATGCCATTGTACATCACCTCGTTCCAGTCCTCACCCGTCAGGATCTGCAGGAAGGAAGCCAGCAGCTCCATCATCCGCACCTTCTTGTCACCGGGACTGCCCCCTCCATCTACCCCACCAACGCACAAGAGCTGAGTACAGAGACCCTGTGCAGTGAATAACCCAGCTCCACAGGTTAGAGAGGATGTTGAATGTTGGACACTGCTAAGGGTTTAGGTCTCCTCAGAAGGGTTTTGAAACTTTTCCATCTCGCCTAACAGAGGTGGAAGAGTTTCCATCTCTCACCATCCACTTTGTTACATAGCAGGAGAGGGAGGAAGGAAGTTACAACCTAACAGCGGATGGAAGGGATTTTTTTGTTTGTTTGTTTAAAGAGCCCCTTCCAGCCAGGAGAGAGTGAGAAGGTGGACCCAAGTCCCTTTGGTTGCGTCCCCTTGCAGCCCAACTCCTACCTGGAACACAGTCATGATGGCTGCGGGGAAGGTGTCGAAGTTGGCCGATGGTGTCCCATCAATGAAGTTAAACCTGGAAGTGGAACCGGGAGGACATAAATGACCTGGAGCACCAAGGTCATCCAAATCCCTGATTGCTGTGCTGTCAACTCTCTTGTGCTTAGGAGGACCTTTCCCCACTCTAAGGAAGGTCTCCTGAGCATTTGGTGCCAGAACCTAAAAGCTGTCCTGGTCAGGAGGACCCACACAACCCAGAGACACCTGCCTGAGTAGGGACTTCTGTATGGGAGAGGTACCACTGTTAGCACCAGGCTGAGGAGCAAGGCTACAGTCTTCCTAGGCACCGAAGAGAGTGTCATCATTCGGCTTTGACACTAAGAAATTCCTTTTCCCGAGACTTGAAACAACCTACCTCCCTCCAAACAGCTGCATTCCCAGCAGGGCAAAGACAACAATGAAGAGGAAGAGAAGGAAGAGCAGGCTGATAATAGACTTCATGGAGCTCATCAGCGAGACCACCAAATTCCTCAGGGATGCCCAGTACCTAGAAAACAGAGGCAGTGCTGGAGCACCCTCAGTGGTGCTGACAAGAGAGCAGGAGCAACTGGATCTGGGCTGCAGCCACCATCCAAGATGAAGGGTGACAGGCACAGATGGTCAGTACGTACTTGGTTATTTTAAATATTCGCAGGAGACGAAGGGCGCGTAGGACACTGATCCCAAAAGAGGTTCCTGGTCTGAAGATAGCCCAGACCACTTCGAAGATGCTTCCCACCGTGACCTGAGAAGCAGACACAGCCATGAGTCAAAAACAGGCTCAGGATGGGCTGTTGCAGGAAATCTTCACGTCCCTGAAGACGACGCACCCACCACCCTGCCCAAGAGCTGGTGTCTCGGTCTGGCACGGGCAGGCTGTCCCATCAGAAAGGGCTCCCCTGCCCATTGCAAGGGCCATCCCGTTCTTCTCCCCCTTGGTGCCTTGCACCACAGACACCTGCCAGGCATCTCCCCCCACACCCACATCATCTCTGGGGCCACTTACCCCACAGTCGAAGCAGTTGAAGGAAGAATGGAAGTAAAGGCGTGGCCCCATCCCGTACATCTTTAAAGACATCTCCAGGAGGAAGAGTCCAAGAAACAGGAACTCTGCATAGTCTGAAAGAGAAAACACAAACGCGTTACCCTGAGGGCACCGAGCTGTGTGGAGCATCATGCATGCACCCACCAGTAATCTATGGGCTACCGCCCACCACAG